GAGCCACGTAGGGGAACGAGCTACCGCCACTCCGAGTCCGGCGTTGTCCCGTCGATCAAAGGTCCCGTCGGTCCCGTCTCTGCGTCCCCAGGAGCGGCTTCCAAGGAGGCGAGCGGAGAGAGAGCACCTCAAAAGGCGCACGCGGGCCTTTTACAGCGCCGCGCACATGCGCAGCCTGGGTTGGCTTATTTCCTTTTTCTGGTATTGTTTTGATCCGTTGCAAACTGAGCCCACACAGAAAAGCAGAGCAAGCCAGTATTTATCATCTCTTCAAAGTGCCAATCCGAAGGAATGCCTCAAGAAAGGAAAAATCCATTCGATGCATTCATTGAAGATCCCCGAGTTAAAAACAGTTGGAGGCTGAGAGGGAAGAGCCGGAGATCTCAGCTCCCATGCAGCAAATCTAACTCATGGCCTTGTTTGAGCGATGAGGTCTCTTGGGGAACTGCAGCCACGTGGCGCAGTCATTTAAAGTGAGGTACGTCTATCCTAATGCTGGAAGTTTTGCTTCAGTTTCAGTCCAGGATCTTTCTATAAAAGGTAATGCTTAGGAAAATAATGATTTGTATGCAGTTGTCCCAAGGCTTTCCCTGCGAGGTGGCATGTCTGAGAGCAAGCCTGATTAATGGAGATGAGGGAACCTTCTCGTTGGTGTCTGCCGACATCGCCAGATCCCTGATCCTCGGCATGCTCACTGATCCTCGGCATGCTCATTGCGGGACAGGATCAGACCAAAGAAGGGGTTATCACACTGACTTCGTTATCACACTCCCCTTCGTTACAGGCTTCCAGGCAGCCTGCTGTCCTTCTCCCCAGCCTGTCAAATGTTCTCCCTGGTGCTTACCTGTCTGCTGGGATCCGCCAATGGCCCTGTCCTGACCATTTGTGTTCCTAGTTGTGCCTCTCGGTTCAGAGGGCAGCACCCTGGGGCTCCGTCCAGAGGCTGAGCTGGTAGCATCGGGCATGCTTATCAAATGGGATTTTCCCGATTAGACACAAGGAAAGCACGTGACATGCAAGAAGGCTTTCCTCTATCAAAAAGTAGTTACAGCAGATGGCAGAGATCTCCTGCGAGGAGAGCAAGGGCTGGGGAGGATTATTCCTTGAGTTGGTGTCCCAGTAGCCCCATTGCAGTGGCCTACGAGGGTCCCCACTGCCCCAGCCTCAGACCTGTGCACGCACAAGCACCGAGTGCCTTCATAAGGCTCTGTCGAAATCAGGGAGCTGATTGCTAATACTGCATAAAACCCAAAGACTTCAGCTGAGCTGTTAGCAGCCGAGCACTTTGGAAAATCGGGCTGCTAGCTTCGGAGCTTGTCAGTGGTTTGAGAGACTTCACTTTCTTTTGAAGGTTTTAAAAAATTGTGATCCAGATTGTCACAAAATCTTTGTCCAAAAAATCTTTTGGGGTGGCTCTTTCATGCCTCAATTTTGAAACTCCTTTTTTAGTATCAATTCAGATTTCGTCTAACCAGCAATGGAATTTTTTTCTCCATAAAAATACTCCAATCGCTTCCCATTCTGCCATTCCGAATGCTCAAGTTGATGTAAAAAGAAATGCTTTGAGAAAAGTTTCTCTTTTTGTTCTGTGAGCTCTTCAGCATTTTTATCTCTTGTAATTTCAGGTCACGTGCAGGATGTGTTACTTATTATGGATGTATACAAACTAGCCTTAAACTTCAAGCTCTCTCGACTGGAACAGCTCTGCCTTCAATATATCGAAGCATCCGTAGATCTGCAGAATGTGCTCATTGTGTGTGAAAATGCTAACAAGCTTCAGCTGGATCAGCTAAAGGTATTCACATTTTGCATACAAAGTAACTGATAAATTTAAAAAAAGAAAATCAATGTAATTAATGCTTTGCAAAAGCTGTCAGCTTTTGCAGATTCAGTTCTTTCTTACGGTTATAGTTGCTTGAGTTATGTTAGAGTGGATTGTCCTGCAGTTGCTCGTGAATATTATGCAGGTTTTTTTCAGTAAGTGTTTGATATTTTTGCATATCTGCCCTGTAGGATGTAAAGGGCAGAGTGACTTTGACTCTTCCTCAGTTCACTCTCACTGCAGCAAGATGGAACCAGTGCATTTTCTGGTCCCAGTGTTTTAAACAGACTGCAAACAGGTTCTTTCACCTGGTCTGATGACAAACTGAATTCTGTTCTCATGCCTTTGATCTGAAAAACAAAATGTGTCTGTGATTCTTCGTCTCTGTGTAGTGGGACAAGGGCTTTTAGGCATTTGCTGAAAGTCATGACAGAGTCGATACCCCCAGCCTTCAGACCATGCTGTGATGGTCTGGCTCCCACCAGCAGTGGCCAGAGCCAATTCTGCTTAAAGCTGCAGAGAAGCAGCTCCTCCACCCGAGTCCAAGAGTCCAAGATCTTGCAGTACCTATTTGAGCAGCCTGTGCACATCAGCTGGGCATATAGCTGACGGCTGCAAGTAGAGTGGGGCTAGACAAACCAGTACGCACCAGCACTTCCTCAGGCACTCTTTATGCTCTGGATTTGGGCAAAGGAAAGGCATCCAGGAGGACAGCAGCAGAGTCAGCAGCAAGTATGTAAATGCTGGCGCAGCCTTTGGTGCATAGGACCATGATGCCATTGGCTGCCCAGAAGCTCAAGCAAGTATCTCAGCGTTGGTGGATCTAGTGCCAATAATTTCAGATCAGCCAGCTGCCTCCACCCACCTTCGCTAGCAGCAGGGTGACAGGGGCTCTTCCACACAACCCCGTTTGGTCAGGATCACCTTGAGTTGGCCTCCTGTCTTCTCAAGTGCGCGTTGGTCCTCGTGGGTAGGTGCCATCTGCAGATGGCATCCTAGTCATTGTTTAAAACATTTTACAGATGGGTCCTGGACGGATCCCTGTGGATCCCAGGTGAAATAACTTGGCAGAAAATGGACAGCAGTAATTATTCTTTGGGTGAATTTTGTACTCACCTTAGGGTGAGCTGGTATAGATTATATTTTTTGTTTATGAAAGTGTTCTGAGGGAAAGCCTTGGTTTGCACTGGCAAATGCAATGCCATTTTTTGTCCCTTTAACCGTTTAGCATTAGGTCCGGTTCATTTGTCACCTTTCCACCACATTGATTTTTCTAGTAGTTTTGTCATACAAGAACCTACAAGAGCTCTTGCAGACTGTGCAACCGTTACAGAAAAGGTTAAGGCAAAATCCGCACAAGCAAATCCTGCAAACTATTTGTACCCTTAATGTATAGTGTTAAGGGTTAAGATCTCTTCACCCGTCTAATTAACTTTTGGTATCTAATCGTATAAAGAATTATTATGAGATTGCAACCAATCTCAGTTAGCTCCATGAGGTTTTTGGCGTCTCCTGAGATTCCTATTTTAGAAATCTTTAGAGCAGCTAGATGGGAGACAATTAGTCTTTTCCTTGTTATTATTTTAGTCAGGTTTTTCCAGATGCTTCGAATTGTCCTGAATTTCCTGTTCAAGTAGGAACCTGAATGGCCGCTTAGTAAGGAGATCACTGATAGTTCCAGCTGCAGGATCCGTGTGGAGGGTCGTTAAGAAAGGGATGGCTGTTTACACGTGTAACATGGTAACATTTATGTCGTGCTGTAGGATGACTTCATACAGTAAACTGTAATTTTTTTATTAATATTGGATTTTTTTAAAGGAACATTGCCTGAACTTTGTGGTGAAGGAATCACATTTTAATCAGGTAATAATGATGAAGGAGTTTGAGCATCTTTCTTCATCCCTCATAGTGGAGATTGTACGGAGAAAACAGCAACCTCCTGTTCGAACACACTCTGATCAGCCGCTTGACATCGGTAACTTTATGCTTTGTGAAGTTATTAGTTGTGCTGGTTTTGCATTGCTAATGGTTTGTTTAGTCTAGGAAACAGCCTAGGAAGGAGACCGCTGCAGACCGCCGATTCTCCAGCTGGAGAATATAACTGTGCTTAGGTTGTTTCCCAGACTAAGATGGGGCATGCTGGTTCTTTTTCCAGTGAGCTTCAGTCAGAACATTATCCCCATCAAAATACATGAAAGGTCATGTTAAATACAGTCGTGTTCTTCTTGCAAGAAAATATCCCGGTTCTGTTCAGGGAGAGAAGAGGCAGAAGGAAGGGTATAAAGAAGTGGACATTCAGTTTAAGTGGACTAGGAGGAGCAGGAGTAAGGAAGAAGATCGTGTGAGTAAGCCAGTACTGACAAGGTAGACCTTATTGAGAGAGAGAGAGAGAGAGGGAGAGGAAGAAAAAGGCATGGAAAAATTAACCAGGAAAAAGAAAAGTTAATGGAAGAAAGGAAGAGAAGATAGAGATGAGAAGACTTTGAGAAGATAAATAACCTGTACTAATGGTCATGCCTTTAGTTTTCATTCTGTGATTGTGCTGGAAGGCGAAGATTTGATTTACAATTCTATTATAGAATTCGTCAAGGACTGACTTGGGACTAGCCTTATTCAAGACTTTATCATCCCAACACACAAAAGAAAAGGAATGTAATAATGAAATTTCTGAGGCCACAAAATTCCGAGGCCTTGCCGGTATTGATTTGGAATACTGCACAAAAAGAATTGGGGACTGGAGAAAAAGAGGGGGAAGCCAGTCCTGGAAGGTCAAGTAGAAAGCCTTTGGCTGGCATTTGTCCCAGGGAGAAGAGAGGTAGCATAGCCGGCTTCTGTATCCAGAGCTGGAACGGTGTGAGAGACCCAAACATCAAAAAATTGAAAGATGAACTTTGAAAATATGAGTGAATTTTGATCAGGCTTGAATGTGCTCTATTTCTCAGTTATTGTGTATTTTCAAAGGTTAATTAAAATGTTGGATAAAAGAAGCCTTTATTGAGGATTTGGGAAAGCATTTCCATTAAAAGACAAAATTTTATATTCCTGGTGGTTGGAAATCATGAGGAAAAAAGGGTGGGGAAAAATCAGATTTCTTTATCTATGGAGAACCCCTTTCAGCGTGGCCGCTGCCGGTGTTTGCTGTCAGCAGTTTGAAAGCAGAGCTGCCAGGTTTGTTTCGGGGCGGGCAGTAGGTAATGGATTGCGACGGGGAAGGATGAAGCTCATTTTCCTCCACGGTTATGAGGAAGGGCTTACCTCCTGCTCGCCCCAAGGGTCCCAAAGGAAAGAGGGGCTGGAGCTATGGCTCGGCCATGTATTAGTTTGATAGTACCTGCTCACCTGGAACTATCGTGTCTTTAACTATTTCATTCGTTAACTTTCAGGAACATCTTTAATTCAGGACATGAAGGCTTACCTAGAAGGAGCTGGGACTGAATTCTGTGATATCATTCTTCTCTTAGACGGCCACCCACGGCCAGCCCATAAAGCAATCCTAGCAGCCCGCTCCAGGTGAGTCGCTGTTCACTAAAACTATAACAAATATTGTCTGTGTAAAATGCAGTGCTGTGCAATCTGTGGGTCAGCTTGCTTTTTTTAGAAGACAGGGAGGAGCTTTGTATCCGCATGAAGTGTAAGATGCAGCTTTGCTCAATGAGTGTAATAAGCCTTTAAGCAACGGTGATTAAATATTTTTTTCAATTTGATACCCAGCAGGGAAAGATAGGAGGAAATTAAAACTGTAGAGATTCTCTAGAGGATGTGTAAGAAGCTGCACTGCACGACAAAGAATCTGTAAAATCACAGGAAGGCAAAAAGGGTGTAAAGCATGAGGCGGTTTCAGTGAAGTGGAAAGCAACAGATGTCCACTGAGGTCAGAAAGAGTCTTCTGATGGTGAACATCCATTTTGGATCCTGTGAAACTTGAATCTCTTTCTCACTTGCTGATATTTAAGACTGGGTATGAATAAGCGTAACAGAAAGTGGTGCATAACAGAGACTGGGGTTGTTCCCATCCTTTGTTGCAGAGGCAAGTTCACCCTTCTGAGGATGGGTCCTATTCTCCCTCCTCAGCATCTGGGTGAAGTGGGTTTGTCCCTCGCTTGTGCGTTCTGTTTGCCTGCGCCTTTATGTTTTGCAAGTCATTGTGTTCACATAAAATTTCTATTTCGAGTACTGTCACAATTTTTTTCTGGTCCCAGGAATAATGTTCGGTATTAGTTACCGCGGTATTTTACCAGAAGCATTTCACGGCTCTTAAAACAACCCCGCATGATTGGCAGCCTGTAGATACCAAGGAAATTCATAATGCTTTAAGCTCTCTACTGGGTCTTATGCAAATTAGACAAAAATCAAAGCACCATGTGTCCTAATTTTCAAGAAACAGAGACAAATTTCAGGTAGTGCGGATGGAAATCAGGGGGATTACATTTGGAGTTCTCTCACAGGCAGACATATATGAAACAACAATTTAAGCAGTGTTTTTGCCCAGGTTGCCACCTGAATTTGCTTCTTTGGAAGCTGTAGTGCTTAATAGCAGCCTTTGAACAATACGGGGTTAAACCATCTGCTGCAGAATGTGTTACATCAGTTTTATTTCCTCTTCCAGTTACTTCGAAGCCATGTTCCGTTCCTTCATGCCAGAAGATGGGCAAGTGAATATTTCTATAGGGGAAATGGTTCCCAGCAAGCAAGCATTTGAATCTATGCTTAGATACATTTATTATGGAGAAGTAAACATGCCTCCTGAAGACTCCCTGTATCCTTAAATCTAAAGTAATTGAAGTATCTGTCTAAAGTGCCTGTACAGCAGCTCACCTTCCTGTCACTCAGCCTGGGAGGTTTATTTGTCAGGGTTGCATTGACAGGCACCGCATTTTAACTTCTGTCATTGATTTGTATTTACAATCACCGCTCTTACCTTTGCTTTATGGTTTTTTCCTTAATGAGATTAACAGCTACCTCTTTGCTGCACCTTACTATTACGGCTTCTCCAACAACAGACTGCAAGCCTATTGTAAGCAGAATCTAGAAATGAATGTCACAGTGGAGAACGTACTCCAGGTAACTGGCCCCAAGCAGCTTTAATTAGTCGCTCGGCTTAGATGCAGGAAAGCCAAGGGGTCCAGTCAAGCGGGTGCCCCCAGCGCCAGGTTCACTGAGTCGCTTCCAAACTGGCATCCACTGAGACTGCACGAACCCGTGTAATGACAGCGGCCCTGCGCGGTCAACACGTGTAAGGGCGCGGCCTTCGGTGGCTTTGTCTCCTTACCTGCTTTTTGTGTTGTTAGCGGTCCTGTGCTGAAGCACTTAGCAGCTATTGCTCAGCTGGCCAACAGGATGGTCCTCTTCAGCTCCTCGTCCCCGTTGTAGAGCAGTGTTCCTACAGGGCTTTTTAAGATGTACCGTGTGCTCAGCACCCAACTCCAAACCCTTTTTTGGTAGGCATTTGTACCAGGACAAACAGTGATGTGCAGGTGACGTTAGCTTTGTTTTATCAGTAATGCTGACAGGATCTGGCAATGAAGTTTAAGCTAACAAAAAACATTCTGTGATACGAAAGCCTACAAAGCCAGCTACTAGGTAGGCAGAGGAAACCCACTGCAACAGCAGCAGAATCAATTCCAGCGTTAACTGCTCTTGGCTCTTGCCAGTGCCAAGTCTCACTGGGGCACTTCAGGGAACCTGGCTCTGAAACAGATCTGCAGTTTCCTACTGGTTATCTCCTGAGGACTCCACACATTTTAAATCCAAGGACTGATTTTGAACAGTTCAGAAAAGATTCAGGTTTGTCATTACAAAATGGAGATGCTTCCCTAGCTCAGAGGAATTACCTCCTCTGAGTCAGAGCGGTGTTTGTGCCCTGTACATTTGAGCCATGCAGAAGGAAAATCACATCGTTGCTTTTGCTCTAGATTTTAGAGGCGGCTGACAAGACCCAGGCCCTGGACATGAAGAGGCACTGCCTGCACATCATCGTTCACCAGTTCACCAAGGTTGGTTGCATCTTTTCTGGGGCTTTTGAGAGCTGCTGTCCTCTATCGCTGCGTTGGTTAAAGACACATTAATATAGGAATCCGTTTCATTCTTTCTCCTGTGAGACAGCTGAGAGCTGGCCACGTATCACTGGCACTCTGACAAGTCTGCTGGGTGTACTTTTCACACTAAAAATAAAGAAAAGACTAAACCAGCCTGGTCTGGAAATGTGAAGACCTTCCAAAACAGAAGTTACCCAGAATTGCTTCCATTTCCACTTGTTCCAGCTGTTAATTTCGTGCCGTGCCATCGTTGGGTTCTCATGTGTATAGCAGGATAAGTTTGTTATGTATTGAGGGCACAGATCTCTCTTTCACTGGCCGTTCAGAGTGTGCTATTCATATTTCTCTTGAAGTATTCTCTGTCATAGATGTTATATTGTCATGTGCTCAAAAAGCAAATTACCACGTCCTCACTGGGCTTTCCGTAGTTCCCGTGTGTTGATACGTGGGATGATGCATTACTGATAGGAAAGGTCAAGAGCCTGATGTGCTGATACTGCTGTCCTCCCTGGAGAGAAGAAGGGTATTGTCATTTAGTTGTTCTTGTGAGATACAATCCCTCTGTGAGAGTTTCCCAGCACGTCACCAGTCTGTTGCACGACTATTAGTGTTGTTGAAATTGATAGATTAATCAATCATAGGAATTGGGATTTCTGGATGCTACACACTTATTGATAATAATTCCCTAGTTAGTATTCAAGTAGCTCTCTATCTTCTCTATATTTAGCCTCACAATCCTCCCGCCACTGTCCATGGGGAAGGAAAGCACCACTCGATCCAGTTTGTATCTGGAGATGAGACGCAGGGAGGTAGTCAGGCTCTTTATTAAATGCCTAAGTTGCCCAAGTGTAATGCATTTTACATTCAGAAATAACTGAAAATGCCTGAAAAGCTTTGAGAGTGGAGCCAGCATCCAGGAATCGCCCTCTCAGGGGAGAGTCCCCAGCACGAGGTTACAGCCCGGCCTTCATCTTAATGTCTTTTCTTCTGGCCTCATGAACCCTGTGGAGCGGCCCAGCTTCAGCAGGGGATGGAGACTGGTCCCGCCATGGGTTACAGGATAGCCTGGCGGCTGGGACGTCTCCTGGGGTTTGGGGTCAACGTGTTACAGACCCTGAGAGCTGAAATCTCACGGTCTCGACTTCCCAGTGGAGGCCACAGGAAGACAAACAGGTTGGCACGATTCTCACCAGAACGTCCTGGGGAGAAATGAACATTGCGACATTTCAGAAAGAGAGATTTGAACTGAAGGGCGTTACTCGATTGTGCTCCAGTGACCAGAATATGTGGAAATGTTTTATGTTTAAACTGTTGACTGTTAGAACAGTTGTCATCAAAATGTGGCTGGAAGACTGTCAAGCAGATGTGCACGAAGAAATCTTAATTATGCAATGTTTTTCTTTGGCCTGAGAGGCTTCAGTGTGTGATTTTTGGCCTGGCGCTGGGTGACTCTATGTGTGGCTGGGCACGAACGCTTGCCGTTCTGCTCCCTGGCAAGCCACAGGCTCTGAAGGGTGGTTTGTTCTGGCTGCGCAAGCCCGGTGGGCCCTCAGGGCTTAGGCAGGCCGGGAGTATGGCCGTTGGGATCTCCTGTTCTTCCAGCTTGATTAACGCTGCTCTCGATTCGGACCGTTAAGGAGTTTTCGCCCCCGTAAGAACACTAACTGAGGAGCTGTTCCCAGAGGTTTGCTAGTTTGGGCAACATGTTTTTAGGCTCTCGTGTGTGTCAGTATTGTGCAAAAGCCCTAATAAAACTGCTGTTCTGAATTGTTTGTACTGGCACCCTGATCTGTTCCTCCGCAGTGCGTGCCGCGGCGCAGGGGCAGGATTCCCACCGAGGTGGAGGGGGTCTCT